GCTTGAAAGATCAAAATAGGAATTGGGTAGAAAGTGCAACTGGGATTGAAAGAGTTGCAACATAGTACTTCCAAGACCTCTTCACCACATCTAGCCCAATTGACTTCTTAAAAGCACTCTGGTATATTACCGAGAAAGTATCTGATGATGATAATCGAGCCCTAATAGAGACTCCTTCACCTGAAGAGATAAAAGCGGCATAAATGATAATCAAACCAAATAAAGCTCCATGACCGGATGGAAATGACTAGTCGTTTTTACCAGAAATTCTGGCAAATAACGGGCCAAGATATAATTTAGTTAGTCAGAGATTTTTTTGAAGAAGACAGGTTTAATACACAACATAACCAGACAAACATATGTCTCATCCCCAAAAAGGACTGACCAAGAGCAATGTCTGACTTCAGACCAATAAGCTTATGAAATGTGAGCTACAAAATCATCTCGAAAATCATCTGCAAAAGATTAAAGAGAGTACTCCCGAATATCATTTCCGAGACACAGTCAGCATTTATGGCTAGACGCTTGATAACAGATAACATTCTACTGGCTCAGGAGAACTTTCATGCTTTGCGGACCAATCTAAGCTGCAAAGTAAACTTTATGGCTGATATTGCTGCATATTTTTGATGTATTTTGCATACATATAAATTAGTTTCTCATGCATTTACCTTGCACTTTAGGCTAGTTTGCATCACTTTAGGTCCTAGAGTACTCTTGCACCAGCATATGCATGTTTCTTGCATTTTGCATTGTATTCAGATTGTTTTCAGCTACTTTGGAGTCTTGGAAGATTCGTGGACGTGCTAAGGCTCGTGAGGAGGCTCGTGGAAACTTGGAGAATTCAGGAATGCTTGCTAAGGATCATAGATCGAGAAGCAGATCGAGCATGGCCGGCCGATCTAGATGAGATCGACCAGAAGATCGAGTAGCCCATCCGATCCAAGGGAACTGATCGAGACCAAGATCGAGTGAAGAGATCGATCAAGGAGTACAGACGTAAATGATGCCATGCAGAGCGAGAGTCGGATCGAGTCCACCACTCGATCCTCCAAAGATCGACTCCAGGATCGAACGAAGCACCCGATCCCATCAAAGAAGATAGAGACACAGATCAAGCTGAAGTCATGATGTCCGAAGACGATCGAGTGAGATGCTCGATCTCGAGGTCGATCCCAGTGCACTTTAACCGTTTTTGGCTTCTAGCGAGGGGGGGGGGACCATCGAGCTGTTTGGCCTATTTTGGGAAGGCGGCGATCCTGCTTTTCCATACACGTTTTCACTTTATCTTTTTATCTTTTTTTCTCTCTGTTCGAAGGCGATTTCGCCATTGTTAGACCTTGAAGCTTTTTCTTGCTTTGTTCTTGAATATTGAATCGTTTAAGTTTAAAGCAATCATTTTTCATGTTTACTAGATCATCTTCTATGCTTTGTTCGGTTTACTTTATGTGTGGTGAGTAGTCTTATCGGGTTTTGGGGTTGAGAAGATTCAAAGGGGTTGAAAAAGATTTTAAAGCTTGGTGTTTTCTTGTTCTTCATGGCTTTCTCTTCTAGGATATCGAGTTCTTAAGGCTTAGAGACTCTCACGCCAAGATCTTTATGATCAAAAGGGCCACTTACCTTGACAGGATCCAGAGGTCCTTGAAAATCGAATCCTAGAGGCTAGTCTACCTTTCCCAAATGCCATGGTGGTTTAGGGGACTAGTTAGGCCGTGTGTTTGAAATCTAAGTTTTATGCCCTTCAATCTCTTTTTCCGCCAAACGCCATGGGTCTGGAGAAGAGAATGAAAGAGTGATCCATACCACACGCCATTTTAGGATCTTGTTTTGTTTTCAAGACCTAGAGAATCTCACAAAGTGAGTAGATCTAAAGTTTTCAAACCAAGCTTGAACATTTGAAACCCTTGAACATGAATCTCAACCCTGGGCCCTCTTTCTTAGTATTTTCACATCTCTGTTAATCATTTGCTTGCTATTTGTTCGCATCCTGGTCATTAGATTCATTTCGGTTGAACTTTTAGATGAGATCGATCGTTGTTGCTCGATCTAGTGGTCGATCCAGTGGTCGATCCACTAGTCAATTTTTATTAATTCATAGCTTTGCATTTTAATCATTATGTTTGTTCCTTGTGGTAGTTCATTTGTTTCTAGTATTTTTAAAATAGTTTTGCTTTGCATTTGACTGTCGCATCTAGTTTTTAGGATTTTTACAAAACCGTTCATCATTTGCTTAGCTTTGCATGATCCTTGCATTCTCATTGCACTTTCCAGCTCCTATGTTGGATTGATTCCTCTTGCACTATACTACGACTGTGTGCTGCTTGAGTTTTGATAACCTCCTGCTTGCATTGCATTACTCCTGTTGACATGAAAAGCCTGTTATCAATGGCCATCAAAATGGATATGAGTAAAGCCTATGATAGGATCAAGTGAGAGTTTATCAAAGCTCTCCTCCTTAAGCTAGAGTTCTCTGAAAAATGGGTCAGACTTTTGATGTTATGCATCTCCTCAGTCTTATATCAAGTTTTGATTAACGGAGAAGCTAAAGGAAAGATAAAACCCTCAAGGGATCTCTGTCAAGGAGATCCCCTATCTCCATTCTTGTTCATCATATGCACAAAGGTTCTTATATCGCTTCTTAAAGGAGCAAAGGAAGAAGACCGGGTGACAGGACTAAGGATTGCAAGAGCTAATCCTAGAGTATCCCACCCACTCTTTGCTGATGACAGCCTATTCTTTTGCAAGGCAAACATCCTGAAAAGTGCAAAGATAATAAAAATCATTCATTCCTACGGAATGCGTCGGGCCACAGACTGAACTCAGCAAAATCTTCGGTTATCTTTAGTACAAAAGTGGGACAAGTATAACGACGGGAGGTAAAAGGGCTATCGGAATTCTAATGAGGGAGGCATGGGTATGTACCTTGGGCTTCCTCGACAAATTTGTCGCTAAAAAAAGAATATATTTTCTTATGTTCAAGACCGTTTGAACAATCGTGTTAACAACTTGTCCGCGAGACTACTCTCAAAAGGAGGAAGAGAAGTCCATATAAAATCCGTTGCTCAAGTACTTCCGACCTTTGTTATGTCGTGTTTTCTACTTCCGCAAGGTGTCACAGATAATTTTAGAAGCGCGATAGCCAATTTTTGGTGGAGCTCGAAATAAAATAGTAAGGGCATGCATTGGATTGCATGGGACAAGATATGTCTCTCTCAAGAAGAGGGAGGATTGGGTTTCATGGACCTTCATGATTTCACTCATTGCTAGCAAAGTAATTATGGCGTTTAATCCAGTACCTATCCTACCTTTTGGCTAGGGTCTTGAAAGGGAAATACTATCGATTTTCAAGTCCCCTTCAGGTCCACAGATCATATTCCCCACTGTATGGGTGGAATAGCATCATGACAGCAAAACCCCTTGTTCTACAAGGTCTTCGCAAGACCATTCGGTCAGGGTGCAACACTAGGGTTTGGAGCGAACCTTGAATCCCAGTTACCCCGGCAAGACCAGCACGTGGTATCATTCTGATGCCTGATAAGAATCCATAGCTACTAGTCCATGAACTTATGAGAGGCGATACGAAAGAGTGGGATATTCAAATTTTGCAAGGATTATTTCATCTTGAGGATATCCGACTCATCCTTGGGATGAGACCTAGCCAAACTCTTACCCTGGATGTGTATGTTTGGAATTACATAAAATCAGGTGCGTACACCGTTAAATCAGGATATGAACTAACTCAACGCCTAAAAGCGGAGGAGAGACCGTTGGAGATGACAGAACCAAGCATTACATGTCTTTTAAGTCAGGTTTGGAAGATTCAAGCGCCCCCAAAACTTTGTCATTTTATTTGGCAAGCTTTGATAGATTGTGTGGCTACCTCGTTGTGGTGACCCATAAGAGACAATTAATCACATGATTTTTGAATGCCCCCCTGCTATGCAGGTGTGGGCCCTTTCGAATTTTTCGTCCCTTCCGGGTTGCTTCCCGTCTTCATCTGTATATGAAAACTTAGATTTCCTATTTTGGAGGATTAGAGAAAGGGAGCTACCAGCGCCCCAAAGATATATTTTTCCATGGATCATGTGGTACAGTTGGAAGGCAAAAAATGATAAATTTTTCAATGGGAAAGTGGTATCACCCGTAGATACCCTACAACATGTGACCATCGAAGCAGAAAGCTGGCAGAAAGCGAACGAGAAAGAGATTGAGGAGGAGAGTGAGGAGAGGCTAAACTCAGACATTACAGCTGGCCCCACATGACCCTCCAAATCCCGGCTTGTCAGATCGATGCCTCATGGATTGATCATGGACCGGTTAGTGGATCAGGGTGGTTTCTGACAGACACTCGAGGGCATATCACTACCGGACAACAAGGATGCAGAAGAAGTCTATCAGCTTTACATGCGGAATTGGACGGGCTTCTTTGGGCAATGATATGCCTAAGAGACAGACAATTTCAGAGAGTTTGCATGGAGATGGAGTGCTCAAGTTTGGTTCAAATGATCGAAGACCCCGTTGATTGGCCAGCCTTTAGATCAGAGTTAGACTGTTTATTTTTGCTTACGACCTCATTTGAGAAATATATTATTCGGTTTATTTCTTGTAGCCAAAATGTCTATGCTGATACTCTCGCTAAAACGATAAGAGCACAAAGTTTTATCTTTTTCGTATAAGTTAGACATAGTTAATTGAAACGAAATCGTCGGAAACCGTAATCAATAACCAAAATTGATTTAATATATGATAAGTTGTTGATAAAAAAAGAATTATATCCTCGGTTAAAAAAGTTTCAAAATTTGTCCTGGATCGACCACTAGTGTCACATGTATCAAGATTCATAAATTTTCACAGCAAAAGAAGATATTTTTATAATCAAAATATATAGTGTTTAATTCATTAACAATGTCAATTTCAATTTGTTGTTTTTTTCATTTTTTTTCTAAATTTGCCCACCAATTATTCGCACTCTTTCTACTCCCTACATTACCATTTGAATAATGGTAGAACCTGTAAAATAGGAAACAAAAAAAGGAAACAAAAAGGAAAATAACATCAAAACACAAAAAGAAGAATTATCAAAAGTAATTCATCGGATTCGTGTACTCGTTTAGCAAGCACGTCAATGGCATCATCATTCCCTTCCTCTGCTCTCTTTCTTTTTCTTTGACTCCAAATTTGTTTTTGTCTCGTTTCCGTTTATATTAGATTTTTTTATTGTGAAATTAGATCAGAAAAAGCAAATAATTAATCTACCACGTCTTAAGAAAATGGCTGGAGGTGGAGGTGGAAGCGGAGAAAGTCCAAGACAGCTAGATCAGACCCCGACTTGGGCCGTTTCTACTGTTTGTGGTGTTATCATCTTAATCTCTATTATTTTGGAACTTATAATTCACAAAATTGGTGAGGTCATTTCATTGCCCAACTATTAAATTTATTTATTATTATGTGAAATATTATTAGTTTTTCATTGTACTTTTATGGTTTCACAGGTTTTCGAGCGAAAGAGGAAAAGAGCTTTGTTCGAAGCTCTTGAAAAGATAAAAAATGGTATAGATATTTTTTTTTGTTTTTGGGTTGAATCAAGGTGCATTGATTTGATTCTTTTTTGAATTTATTGTAGAGCTCATGGTTTTAGGATTTATTTCTCTACTTCTAACATTTGGACAAAATTTCATTGCGAGCATTTGCGTTCCGTCAAGATATGGCCATGCGATGTCGTTTTGTGGTCCATACGACGGGCCTAGTGATGGTGATGATAAAAAATTTAAAAAAGCAGCTCACGAAATGCATCTTCAACGTCGTTATTTGGCCGATGCTGCTCCAGTGAATTGCAAAATTGTAATATATTTTTTTTGGCTTGGGCAATGGAGATTTAATGTTAATTGTATTAATATTGTTTATTTCTTTTGTTATTTCAGGGTTATGTGCCCCTTATATCGCTGAACGCGTTACATCAAGTGCATATTTTCATATTTTTTCTGGCCGTGTTTCATGTGATATACAGTGCAATAACAATGATGCTTGGAAGAGCCAAGGTATTTGTGTTAGGACTGTCATAGTGCATTATCAAAATATTTAATATCGAAAACCTCAAATATATTATATAATAGATATGACAGTTTTCACTAATTGTCAAATAATTTTCAGTTAGAAGTTTATGTTATTTAAAATGAAATCAGAGTCATAGGTTTTCATTTTTGCACAACTTCCTACATAGATTCGCGGTTGGAAAGTATGGGAGCAAGAGGTTATCCATGAACAAGAAATGCTAAATGGTAAATTAAAAAACTATTTTTAGATGATAATCACTACAAATATTATTAAAAAATTTAATGTCGTGATTTTTTCTTTTTCATAATATGTTTTTATATAGATCCATCAAGATTTAGACTCACGCATGAGACATCATTTGTACGAGAACATGTCAATCATTGGGCCAGCAATAAATTCTCCTTCTACATTGTATAATTTTCCCATATTCTAAGTGTTCTGTTTTTGATCAAATCTGTTTCATGGAAATAAAGAATACCTTTCTATTTTTTTAGATGTGCTTCTTTCGTCAGATACTCAGATCGGTGAGAAAATCTGACTATTTGACAATGCGACATGGGTTCATCAGTGTGAGTTCATCATTAGTATTATGCATTACATCTCTAAAAATTAAATCAAATGTGAATGTTTTAAAAATCGTTGTATTTAGGTTCATTTGGCGCCTACTATGAAGTTTGATTTTCAAAAGTACATTAAAAGATCTTTGGAAGATGATTTCAAGGTGGTTGTGGGAATAAGGTAACTTCCACCATGCTTTTTGATGACCTTTAAAAGAATTTAAAAAATAATCTTTTCTATATTTTTTTAACAATAATTATAACTTAATTTGAAAGACATTATTTAGGATTTAATTTACAAAAAAATAAAGCTGATTGGGATAAACACTTCTTTTAAAAAATATATACAAATGAAACTCCAGAAACATGTACAAACAGAGCTACTTACTCTATATATATATTATATGGAGCTTGAGGCAAACGCCTCTGTGGCATAGTCAGCACAAATGTGTCTATTTGTTTTTCTAGTTTCAGTTCATTTATTTTTCTTAAGTAATTTTTTTAATACAATCTACCATTGATGATGACAGACCTGAGCTATGGGCATTTGTGATGCTGTTTTTACTCTTTGATGTTCACGGTAAGTCATTGTTTATCGATTTTCCACATTATGATCTATCTTCTTCTGTTTCCAGCATATATACTAATATTATATTTATAATCTAATTAATGAAAACATAATAGGTTGGTATATTACTGCCGTAATCACCATGGTTCCTCCTCTGGTATGTTTTTAGTTAATTTACTATATGAAACTCTTGCTACTTTAAAATAAGAACAACAAATAATGCTAAGCTTTTTTGTTTTGTTGGTAAACCATGCTTTTTATATGGACTGATTGTGGTTGGTTTAAAGTTAACACTAGCCATAGGAACAAAGCTTCAAGCCATTATATCATACATGGCACTGGAGATTCAAGAGAGGCATGCAGTAATTCAAGGGATGCCACTTGTCAATGTTTCTGACCAACATTTTTGGTTTGGCAAACCCGCTCTAATACTTCATATGATCCACTTCGTTTTGTTTCAGGTAAAACTCGGCATTTAAATAAGGATATGTATTAATGTATATACAGATGATGTTTTAACATGATTACCTTTTATATAATGGGGTTCCAACGATCAAAAAAGCAAAAACACTGGAATACACATCTAGATATTTTAACATGAAGTCTGATTTTTTTTATTTTAAATCTTTTCAGAATGCTTTTGAAATTACCTACTTCTTTTGGATATGGGTAATCGTTTTTTTTTTTTTTCCTGTATTGTAATTATAAATTTGTATGTGAGGTTAGCTAATAATAAGTTAATATTTCTTGTTGCAGTACGAATTCGGGTTAAGGTCATGTTTTCATCATCATTTTGGCCTTATAATCATTCGTGTATGTCTAGGGTAAGTAATATATGCTCATAAATATGATTCATCTACTTACAAAAAATTTGACTTTTGAGTTTATAACAATTGTACACATTTAATTGGATTTAGGGTTGGAGTACAATTCCTATGCAGTTATATCACACTACCCCTTTATGCTCTCGTCACTCAGGCAAGCCACAAATGTGTATAAATATATTTGTTAATTTTAACTTGGATACATATGTTCGCCATAAAAATTTAAATTTGTTAATACATATAAATATTTACAGATGGGATCAACAATGAAGCGATCAGTGTTTGATGAACAAACGTCAAAGGCATTAGAACAATGGCATAAGAAGGCAAAAAAAAAGAATGAAAAGTGAGAGAATAATTTTCCTTTTCTTTCCATTAATGGATTTTGTCTTAACTGAATCTTAAAACAAAAGGTGATGTCTACATACATTTGTTTGGCAGCATAGGCTTTAGCTATGTGATATTTTTTGGTTCCATAATAAGTGGGTTCAAAAATAAATAAACCATTAAGACATATTAGTGTATAATTATATGGTTAGAATATAAGTATTAAATATTCAAAATATCTCTAAAAAGTTGAGGATATCTTGTTATGGTGTTGATGTATATAATAGTTTTCTATAAGGGTGGTAAGACTAATGTGTTAACCTAAAAGATTTAATTGGAAGTTCATATCAAAGCATTTGGGGTGCAAATGTTAGATGTACAAGAAGAATATATGGAATAAAAGAAATAGTAATAGTGAAATATGAATAAATGGAATAATGTATTATTCTGATTTCTGTTCCTCTAATCTAACTTTTTGACGAAGACTAAATTTCAATACAATAAGGTTATTTTCTATTTAAATGCGGGTTCTATTATTTTCTACTTAAGAAAATAGTATGATTATAAAGTAATGGAGCGTAATCAATTACACTCACATATATTTCTCAATTTATTCAAGGGAGAATTGGCAAAATGCCTTATTTAAATTTTAAATTTTGAAAAATACACTGTTATTTAATTTTTCTTAAAATAACACTTATGTATATTATATAAAAACAAATAAGTTTTTCTTTACCTGGTTGAAAAGAGATATTACATATTTTAATAAATTAAAATTAAAATTCGAAATTATTAATATTAATTTATTTGAGAAAATTAAAATTCGAATTTATTAATTACAATATTAATTTATTTGAGACAATTAAAAATTGAAATTATCAATTTAAATATTTGAAAATTCATCTGTAACAAAAAATAGTTAATTAGTGTATTATTTAGATGTATTTTAACTAAAACTATTTGGTCCATCATAGAATTTCTAAGAGTTGGATCTAAATATAATTTAGCAAAAGACCAAATCAAATGATATATGAACTGCAATGATGATTCAAATTCTAAAATCATGTGTCTTCATTCTTTTATTTATTTTTACATATTTTTAATTAAAATATTAATCAAATTCCAAAATCATGTGTCTTCATACTTATATTCATTTTATATATTTATTTATATTTAAATTAAATATTAAAGCTATGATCAATTTTTAATTAGATTAATTTAGATATTTCATTAAAAAATAAATATAGTTTAAAAAAATGAACAATGGTATAGTTTTCAAAATACAATCTTTTTTAAAGGTATTTTTCCAAATTTTCTCTTTATTCAACCATTGGCACCCTTAAAATTTGAGTAAACATAGAAAATCGTATTATTCAACATCATGTAATCGTGTCAGCAAACATCGTGTTCTTTCTCTGGATCCATAACATCATCCAAACTTCGTTCTCCTTCAATTTGTACATAAGAAAAGAATAGTCCTCAATATTAGAAGACCACATGAGAAGGTACATATATTTAAGGAAAATCGCATTTTTAATTCTGGATGTTTGATTCACTAGCATTTTAAACCATTGGATTTGGACACTCTCATTTGATAGGGTTTAAAGTATAAAAACTAACACATTAAACTGTAAAAGTATCTCTCAAATTTTCTTCACCGAATCACTGGACGAAAAAAATAGTTCCATTGACGAAACAGTAAACAATGTTAAATCTTTTACAAAATGTGCTTATTAAAATGATTTATTAAAAATAAAAATAAAAAAGAAAATAAACAATAAAAACTTCAAAAGAGAAAAACACGAAAGGGAGGGAAACGGGCAAAACTTTCAAACCAAAATTCCCGAGTCTATTTTGGGGTTAAGGGTTCATAATAGACAAAATCCAAAAATTTAAAAGATATAGAAGGATAAAAAAATAAATCCCGAAGAAGAGACGACAACGTTGGAATAAATGAGGTAAATGTAATTCCTCTGTTGATTTCGACTGTAGTTCGAATTTGAATCTTCTAGTCCGATATCTCTTATTGTCATTTGGTTTCTCAAAATCTTATAATTGATGCTCATTTATCTGTTTGTTTTGTCATATATCTCATTTATCTGTTTTCTTCTAGTTCAATATCTCTGCTGATTTTGTTACTGTGGACAAATTACTATGTTTTGATGTAACGCTGTGATGCTAACTTTCTATTGCTTTAGTGCAGTAACGATGTGATGCTAAAACTCAAAATTCAATTTGGTGATGCTATGAAGAAAGAGAATGAGTCTTACAATTATATAGGAAAATTTGGTTCTCTCACCGTCAACTAGAACGAAGCTCATATTAGTTCACTGATTATATTTGTCTGGTAAAAAGAAGTAAGGAAAGAAATGAATAGCGTAGACTATGCTTTAGATGAAACAGATATGCTTTGTTCGGCTGGTAAATCATCAGGTGAGCTTCATATGTTTATCGAACACGACTGCTCATAACATATACTTGGACATACGAGCACTTATCTCCTTACAAACAGTCAAGTTGAATATAAAAATTGGCATGGAGCTGATACTGCAGATGGATATGAGGTTTGTAGAGCCCCAGCCCGATTTTTATAACCAGCAGTCGAAACAATATTTAACCCGATCACACCGTGACCGTGTCTCAGGAATTTTTTTGACTTTTTCTTATTATTTCCTCTACGGGGTTCCAACCCACTATCAGACTAACAACTTAACTCAGTTGTTCACATCCTAATAACCTAATTATCACATAACTCGCTAAGCACAAAATCCTAATCTCAGCTAAGATTAGTTCGTACCTTAGCCACTTGCAGATATCGGATGCACCAACTTAACTTCCAACACCAGGTGTCTCATATGCCTTGAACTTCCATCTCCCCAGTTGTCAAAAGCCCTTTTCCTGCACTGGTTAATGATAATTCCCCCAACATCTCTCTTTCGTACTGAGTCACTCAACCAACCATCCCCACATGGCTAAGTACAAAAAAAAAAATTTGGGTTAGCCAGATCATCACAGAATCCCATTCCCGGTCCTCATGACCACCAGTAATCACAGCCTTGATCATGACGACCATCAGAGAACACAGTCACGATCCTCATGATCGCCAGTAACCTTGTAGCACATCACCCCCTCCGCTACACAAACACTCAAACAATCATCCCCACATGACCAAATAACGAAGAGGGATGGCTCAGATCCTTTATCCTTGCTCATCCAGTCAGCCCAGTTTACAATCTCCCAGACCATGTCCAAACTCTCTCGATGGACTCTTCCGGGTCACCATTCATCCATAACATCTTCTCGGCAGAACGATCCCTAATGATGGATCTCTCAGAATATCGACTTTCTCTCGGTGAAAGATCGATCAGATTTCTCTCAGTGACAGTCCAGATCTCTCAGTGACAGTTCAGATCTCTTGGTGGTCTCTCGGTGACAGTCCAGATCTCTCGGTGATCTCTCGGTGACAGTCCAGATCTCTCGGTGATCTCTCGGTGACAGTTCAGATCTCTCGGCGATCTCTCGGTGACAGTCCAGATCTCTTGGCAATCTCTCGGTGACAGTCCATATCTCTCGGTGACAGTCTAGAATTCTCGGCGATCTCTCGGTGACAGTCCAGATCTCTCGGTGATCTCTCGGTGAAAGTCCAGATCTCTTGGCAATCTCTCGATGACAGTCCAGATCTCTCGGCGACAGTCCATATCCCTCGGCGATCTCTCGGTGACAGTCCAGATCTCTCGGCGATCTCTCGGTGACAGTCCAGATCTCTCGGCGTTCTCTCGGTGACAGTCCAGATCTCTCGGCTATGGCTCGATGAAATCTCCCACTCGTCGGATAATTCTTGATCTGGTGAGATCCTTCGGCCATGATCAGACATCTCCTCGATAATCCCCCTATTTCAGAATGTTTAGTCCACAAATACTCAGCGATGGTTGGCGATCTCTCGGATATAGTCACACCTCGCATCGGCGGATTCCACCTCGTCTCGGCTACAGCCGCGTCGCCGTCGACCATCATCGACTAGAAAAGCATAACCCTTGACTATCTCCCGGAATACTCCGTCAATATCACAACTCTCTCAACTAAACTCTCTCTTTCACGGTGTTTTTCAGAAATAATACGGCTCCCCCTTTCAAGGTCTCCAAAATCACTTATTTAAATGAAAACCCTAAGTGACACGGGTCATAACCGGCTTCTCCTGGCCCCAGTAGGATTTCTCCTGGTCATCTTTAATTTCTCTTGGTTGTCTCCTTAACCGCTCGATCATAATTGTGAGAAATTCTTTTCTCATCTGAAAACTTTAATTTTTCTATGACCAAACTCAAAGGCCCACGGGCCTAGCCCTTTTATCTCGATCACTTTTCCTTTTCCTGGGAAACTTCTCCTTTTCCTAGGTTACTTTCCTTTTTTTTCTCGGAAATAGTCGCATTACCAACAGACATTCAGAACCTCCTCGACCATTTCCCAATCTTCACTGGACTGTAGTCAGAATCTCCCATCTATATGGATTCCTCACTTGACTGAACTCATTAAACCCTTCGACTACGTCCTGTCTGGCCTAGATCATTTCAGATTTTCCGGATACAGATGCTACAACTCTCTCCCATTTGGTTTGGATTCGTCCTCGAATCCGTTACTTCTTCCTGAAGTTTCTCAAACCACTTTGGGAATCTTGTACTCATCTTAGACTCTACTTCCGAAGTAGTTTGCTCATCGCCATTGCAGTCCTAGACAACTCAGATCATCCTGACCCTCTTACCACGCCTAAGCTTCTCTTTCTGGTCATGTGCCTCTTTTAGCTTAACCTTTAGAAACATTATCTTTTCCTTAGTAGTCTTGACCACTGCCAGTCACACTACACTCCCCCACTTGGGTTCAACACAACAGTGTTCTACGCAACCCAGCCAAAGGCATATAACTCTCCCAGTTACCACCTTAATCGAGCACGCACACTCTTATATATACTCCAAGGTTCCTTTCGTCCTCTCAGACTGTCCGTCGGATCTTCGTGACACCTCACGATCTGACCTAACTTTATCCGGCCAATGCCCTTATGCAAATTGTAACACAACACTCTTTCTACCTAGTGTCATTACCATAGAGTCCCCATCCTCAGACTCTATTCAGTCTTAGTTTAGCTGTACTAAACTCTTGTTCCCAATCACAGCCTTCTCTAGACTCGATTCCAGATACTTGACCTTAGACCATCCCGGCCCTGGTCCAAAATTCCACTACCAATCTGAATTCATGTA